CGCTTGTTGACTCAGGAAGTTTGCTACTTCCAACACAAATAACTTTCCAATAATATTAGTTTCCATTTTAAAAAATGAACAGCTACTATTTAATTGAACAATTATATTTGACAGACATTGAACTGGATTCTTTATATACAAACATTCTTCCTGTCCTTAGATTTCTATAGCCCTAATGTTGTTTCTCATCTCTATTTCATTCATTCATTCATTCACTCATTCCTTCATTTAAGACATATACACATATTTTTTGACCATTTACCACATGCTTGGAGTTATTCTAAGTGCTGGGGATACAGTGGTGAGCAAAATAGTCACTGCCTTCATGGAGTTTAGCTTCTGAATAAATGACAAGTTCCTAGGAGATGGATTTCATCTTATTCTTTTCATTTGTTTTGCACACAGTAGAAAATAATATTTGTCACAAAACTAGATGCTTTTGTTGAAGAGGCAAAAACATAGGAACCTGGAAGCAATAAGACTAACTTCAGCTGTGTTACAGGATGATTAAGAATTGTTGTGCAGCAACTCTCTAGATAATTTGATTAAAATCAGGTGCTGTTTGCATTACTGTCACTGTATCCACATTGAAAGTGCTATGGTCAAAACTAGTCTCAGGAATGACTGAGACGTGCTTTTCAGAGTCCAACTCAGCTGCCTGCCTCCCTGCCTTCCTTCTTCTCTCTCTCCCTCTTTTTGCCTTTTCCCCTTTTTTCCTCCCTCCCTTCCTTCTTTCCTCCCTCCTTCCCTTCCCTTATTTTTCTTTTCTTCCAGAATCACCTAAATGTTTTTTATAATAACATTTGTTGTAAATTTTGCATCATTCACCTTAAAAGTATTAGCATTTAAGAGATGAGTGGTAGAGGGATGTAACATTAAATATAAAATTAAAGTATAAAATTTCAAATACTTTGATTCAGGAGTAGGGAAGTTTTATCAAAGCAAATGGTCTCAATAAAACTTAAAGTTATACTACGTACCAGTGATCAACCCCTTGTAAAGGAAGGCTCCATCATTCTTAGCAATAAAGGTTGAGAAGTGGCATGATAGTGAAAGTGTGGTCAAAATTTTACTTTTTAGCATAAAAATTTCTTGGCAAGCGTTTTCTAAACTCAACATACATTAACTGTTTGAAAGTTATTAGGTTCTTCATTAATAAGCTAATAACCTAATATTAGGTTCTTCTTAAAATCAAAAACTAAAACAGAAGCAATATTGTAACAAATCCAATAAAGTCTTTAAAAATTGTCCAGAACCTAATAACTAAGATAGCCAAAAGCCTATTGGCTGGAAAGTTTGATAAGGACAACTGAAAGAAGGGGAAACAAATCTGTTTTTCTAAGGATATATCTAACCGATCAAGCTTTCCTTCCCAACAGCACACAGATTTCCCGACTTTCAATCTGACACCCATAAATATTCCCACTCAGTAGGTCTTTGGGTTCCCCGGTCTCTATAAATATACCATAGCTTTTGATTGTTTTACGATGGAAGTTTATTTTATTTTATTTTTGCCTGCACAGTTGGCTTTGTTTTTTTTCTATGCTTTATAGACCCTTGTCTTTTTATTAGTTCAGTGTTCCCTGTTGATTTTGTGTTTTATATTCCTGCTGTCACCACCAGAACCTCACTGTAAACAAGAACGTTGTATCTCAGTGGGTTATTTTCTGTTAATGACCTGTGATACAGTATATAAATAAACCAGCGAGTCATCTACAGGTGCAGTTTATTAGAGTTATTGCACTGTGGCTTGGGTAATGTTCCTCGGTTCTGTAAAACTTTGCTGCTTTGAGAAGCAAAGAGGCCAGCTAGCTGGCAGTTTTGAAGAGAGAAAAATGAGCCCATCACTTTGCAATGGATGGGAACCCAGCCTAATAATTATCATTTTAATTTCTCAGTGTCAACATCTAGGTTGCTGTATGACTTAAAAAATTCCACAAAGCTGAATTACCCAGATAAAATGGTCTGGTTCTAATAGCTGTCTTGAGCAGTAGAGGGGAGCACACAACGGTCCCTCCCCACACACAAAAAATAAAACCACAGGAAAACAGACACACTGTACTGCTCAATTAGAACAAGAGGGATTGTTTGGGGTTGCACAGAGGTGCATAATGAAGACTGATAATGATAGCTTATTAATGAATTCTCACAACCCCTGGTGAGGTAGGTGTTATTAAGACTCAGGTTCATGAGGGGCAATGGAGGCTAAGTAACTTGCCCAGGGCCATGCGGCGAATCAGTCCCTTCATGGGAACCAGAGACTCCAAATGAGCTCCTGCCACACCTCGTGGTCTAACCACTAGATCATGGTCTGTCTTTGTCCTGGGATGAAATTAGCAGAAGCGAAATTGGAGCTGAAGAGTCAAGAGATAGAAGGAATATTTGGTAATGATTTCAGAAGGGAACTGAAAGGTAATATAGGACTCTGGGGACACTAACGTGCTTTAGCGAGCAGATATGTGCTTCTGGCTTTGAAATACATTACGAATAGATGCTGCCACACATCAGAAGCATTCAGGACTTGGGGAAGACAAGGAGAAAAAACACAGGGGGCTTCCCTGGTGGCGCAGTGGTTGCGAGTCCGCCTGCTGATGCAGGGCACGCGGGTTCGTGCCCCGGTCCGGGAAGATCCCACATGCCGCGGGGCGGCTGGGCCCGTGAGCCATGGCCGCTGAGCCTGCGCGTCCGGAGCCTGTGCTCCGCAATGGGAGAGGCCACAGCAGTGAGAGGCCCGTGTACCGGAAAACAAACAAACAAACAAAAAACAGAGGTAAAGTGGAAAGTACAGTAGAGGAGAATGATGTCCTGGACATTCTATACCGTTATGTAGTGTACTTACAACATCATTTAGCTCCAAACCTTATCTTGTTGGTCACACTGTGTAGCAAATAAGGCTGCAGGCTTCTATGTTACTAATTTTGAGCAGAATATTAGTAGATGTTCTGTTATCTTTCCTGTTTTCTTATTATTCATAGTAATAAATGTTCACTTATAAATATTTAAAATTATCTATCACTAGTATTAGAAAAAAAAAGTTCTCAGTTTTTGCCATAGGTATCCAGGATGACTCTATTCTGAACTAACAAAAGCTGCCAGTGCATAACAATCCCCAATACTTTGTTTAACTAGTGCACGCACAGCCATACCTGTCACCGAAATGATGACTTTCACTTTGATGCATCGCAATTTTCAAATTTGTTACAGGTCCTTAATCAGACAGACATACTGATTTCTCTTGGCCGTGTTTGTTCCGGAAATATTTCTGCTCAGTGGAATCTCATGATCAGTTAGCTCCACTGTTTTTATCAAATATACCAAAAACATGCAATCTATGCCGCTGCACAAAATGAGTTTGGTGAGTTAGCATTCCAATACAATTGATTCAAATTTACTAATTCAACTGAGCGTGAACTATCGATGCATCATCTTATAAGCAAAATATTGGCACATAGGTTTTATAATAGCCAATCATGACTATCCCATTACATTCTATTTCTTATTTGCCATCCCACAGTGTTGTCCTTATTTAATTCTTGAGGCATCATTACTGTTCATCTAGAGAGCACCTGTTACTTGAGGTGCATGTAGCAGAACAATGCCGTTTTTCTTTGTTGTTGGCTTAAAGAAGAGAAGCAGAGCTGCCACAGCGTGAAAATCATACCTGAGTTCTCTGTTCATACACTTTATCTCTCTAGTATTTCTCACCAACACTACTTTTGGGAAACTGATGGTCAAGTACCAAAGACCTGTACCCATAAGCACTTCTCTCTATATGGATTGCTTAAGGGGTTTATATCTTTATAGTCTCCTTATTAATACATACCAAGACACGGTTAAAATGGTAATGACTTCAGCCTTTCTCACTTTATGGAAACTCTTAAATCATTATCTAATATTAAATCTACCAACTACTTGGTATAACAGTTTTTTGCTTTTTCTGTAAAGAAGAAAGAAACACCTATAATACTTGTTTACTACCAGGCAAGCCATTTTTTAAAAAAGGACAGGAACATCAAATACTTATTGTAATACTTCTTTAACACTTAATATTTTTAAATTATTATAAATCATATTGACTGTTAGGTACATGAGTGTTTCTCAGAACATTTATTCTTCACTGGCCTACCCAATTTATCATCTGCTTAGAATCTTACATTTTTATTATTTCATACCTAACTTCCATTTTTACTAATTCAATTTCTAACTTACTAAATAAGAACAGAGAAGTGAAAAATCTTACCTTTTGCCTGCTTTGAGAAATGACTTGAGAATGACACTTGAAATAAATGTTTGTATATGCTTGATTAAATGCATGCATGGATGTATATTAACATGCATAATTTTCTTAGTGATTTAAATGACCTCTAATATTTCATCAAAAATTATAACTTAATATAGAAAAAACACTATCAAAAGGGCCTCCAGAGGTTAGAATGTAAGTTAATTAATGGAGGGAATTAAATCCCTCCTCCCTGTTGCTTCTCGCTGTTGAAGAGCATCTGACACCAGGAGGTATGGGGCAGAGTGGTCCGAAGTCTCAGAAGAGGTTGGTAGGAAATGACCTGCCAGAGGTTAGCATCATAGTGGACCAGGGGAAAGGACGGGCTAATGCTACAGACAAGCTCTTTTTCTCTGTCTCAAAGGAGCATTGCATGATGCATATATAGCTTTCATTTTCTGCCTCTATGTCACCTCACTGCCAATATACCTGGTTTTTTTTCTTGAACTGATGGGAAACTTTGGTATTAGAAATTCTAGAAGCTTAGCTTTTGAAGGGAAATTATAGATTTACTCAAACTGTCATCTAATGTCTGAATCCATAACACATTATTCTTGCTAAATAGAAATCCACCTCTACCTGAATACTTGCAGTGACTGCGAATTTACCACATGTCAAAGCACCTATTCTAAATCCTGCCTCTCTGTAGCTTTCACCCATTTGTCTAGTCTGCTTTATGGAATGACCACAATAAACGACTCTCTTCCAGGTGTCGCGCTTCAGAGTTTTGATGGCAGCCATCCCTGGTGTGTTCCTTCCTGACCTGAGATGCCATGTTACACCAGCAGTTCTTCATGTCACCTGGTTAGGAGACTGCCCTTATCTTCCTGACTACTGTTTTCTGAATGCATGCTGGTTTGTCAAGATCCCAAGAGTAAATATTTTCTAAGAATGGAAACAATATGCCAGGTATGGTATAATCAATGCAGTGTGTAACAAGGATATTAATTTCTAAAGTCTAGATATCATACCTCTACTAATGCCATTGAATTTGCTTAAATGGTTGATCAGCTGTATCACAGAACTGGCTCATAGTAAGCTTGAAGTCAGTTAAGAACTTCAGACATTTTCTCATATATATGTGTATATATATATATGTGTGTGTGTGTGTGTGTGTGTGTGTGTGTGTATATATATGTTTATATATCCCAACTAGGTCTTTCCTACCCTGCCTTTATGTATCATAAGATTATATTTATTAATAGATAAAATATTCAGAAAAAAGGAGATAAAATAACTATTCTATTATGTGCTTATAAGCTCCCACCTGAAATATGTGTGTTGGTTCACAACCTTAAGAGCTTTCCAGTGAAATCTGAAACTGGTCCGCATACACAGACAGCAAGAGAGACCCAAGAAAGAGGCAGACCACTCCAGATTGGTAGGTGGCAGCTTCAATAAGAAAGGGAACTATGTACAAGGCTTGTCTTGAGTGGCCACAAGATGAGTAGATCTCTGCATCAACCTGTCAGAATTTTAGAAGTTAATAGAGAGGCCTTAACTAGGCTCAGTCGCAGTCACAGTCCAGATGGTCTCAACAACACCTTACTCTCTCAAGGCTGCACCCTTGAAACAGCTCTGACTATGCGAACAGTGGTCAGAACACACATTCCAAGGACAGGGGAGGGGGAAGGAGACTCCCATTGTCCAGGTCCAGTTCGTGGGTCAACTGGCAATCATGTCCTCTTGATGTGTTGATTTCGGTATCCTGCACTTTGAAACATTTTGATATACTGTAGTATTTCTGGGGTGAAGGACAAGAATAGTTAGGAGATTTAAGGAGATGTCTTAGGAGGAACTGGGAAGAAGCATAAGGAAAAAATGACGTGATAGCTATTTCTTTTGAGAGCTCTCTTCAAATGTCTGAATAGCTGCTATCGAAAGGTAGAAGTTAAGCTAATATATGTTAAAACAAGGTGAAATTTAACCCCATAGTAGGAAGAATTGTCTTACCATTAGATTTTTTTCAAAAGTGGCATAGGCTATTTTGGGCAATAGTGAGCTACCTATCAGCAATGGTTTAAAAAGTAGAAAAATTACTGACCGAAGATACTGTTAAGGGCATTAACTTGTCTGATGGAGCCTGGGCTAAATTATTTTTTCATGTTAATGAGTTTATACATATTTTTGGTACCAAATAGCATTAACATTTATCCTCACTAAATGTTATTTTATTACTTTGCCCCAATCTTTACTTTGTCGTGTCCTGTAATTCGTATCATTTGCATACTTTATAAATGTTGTTTTTATGTTCCTGTTTAAGTTATTGATATAAACATGGGCAGCAACATATTTAGGGGTCCAGTTGTTAATACTGGACAGCATGTGAAAGCCCATAAAGGAAACAATTATTGAACAGCATTTTACTATTTCATTCTACAAGATATTGTGGATGAATTTGTACATTGATTTTGATCACAGTTCTTTGATCTACCACCTTATAATGCCATAGCAATCCAAAAGAAGGAGGCAGGGCAGAGGGAGGAAGGAAATTTGGTATGAGTACCTGAGCACACTTGTGCTGACTGTCGATGTGTTTACTTTCTGACATAGGACCAACTGGAAGCTGCAGCCTAGATTGAGGGGTAGGCTCAGGGTACGATGGGCTTCAAGTCTTGGTCTGCTAATGGGGAACAAATCATATAAGAAGAGTCCTGGGGCTAAGCAGTGATCATTCAGGGTGAAATGCATGAATGGTAAAGACAGGAATAGCCTGGACTGCAAAATGAAGCAGTGGTTTGAAGGAGGTTGAAATTGTAGGAGAATAGAGCATCCATATCTAGAAAATGACAGAAGCAAAATAGTGGGCATGGGGGGAAGTGAATCAATTGGTCAGCTACAGAGTAGACAGACTGAAAGGAGCGTTCAGTTTGGGAGCTGAGTCCAAAACAACCTCATGAGCAAATCAACCTCTGCTCCAGCATCCCCTGAGATGTGGACTTGTTGGTCCTTAGAAGACTGAGAGTGTGGTCAATGGTAGACACTCAAAATTCTTTTCTGTAATTTTTGTCTGCAATATACTTTTCCTCCTTTTGGAGACTGATCACTTTTGCATATTTCCGGTCCTAATTATCATCTTAAATAACTATAATTTTTCAAATATCCTAAACAGTGACATAGATTGCATTGCAAATTATTTCGGCCCATGAGCTATAACTCATATGGACCTAGACATGTAAACAGTTGGGTTAAAAGATCCCACAGTATCCCCAAATCCCAAGACCTAAAATGCTTTGAACCACTGAAGTTTTCTCTTAAAGTTTGTGCTAACTTCCTCTTTTAACCTGAACTGATGCAGGCCATTAGTTATGTCTCGATGCCACTACCACATCCCAGATGCCTCTGTGGACAACAAATATTTTGTGGCATTTTTTTTTTCTATTTTGTGACTTTGAGTGTTATTGCACTAAGAAGTGATGTGATTAACAGTGAGAAGAAGAAAGGGAGCATCTGTCAATATCAGTCACATAGAGTTGTAGTTACTGTAGATGCTTCAGTGTGGTACAGCTACGAAGCATATTTTTGAAGGGTAGGGTAGCACGTAAGACTTAAAAATAGAGAAAGACAAGTTGTTGAAGGATTTTAGTGACCATGATAAATAAAAAACAATAAAACATAAAAATAAAATGCACATGGCAAAACCTAAAATAACCATTCACTTATCAAGTGAGTTTGACATTAGGAGAATATAGGTATTAACTGGTTTGTTGGTCATGAACAAGCTAGAATGCAACAAGCAAAACAGAAAATTGAAGATGAAAGGATGATTTAGAAAGTTGTCTACACAAAATTTAAGGAGTATCGTGGCATAAAGTTTCAGAAAATTTGTTGGAAAGGGGTTTACATAAATTATGATGCAGCTGAAAATTGCATTGATGGATTTGACAGAATATCTGGGGGAAAAAACCTGCTTCCTGAGCAAGTTTATAATGCTAATGGACTGGTGCTCTGTTCCTACAAAAAACTTAAACATAGCCCATGAGAGAACATCAACAGGATAAGATATGAGTGATAAATTTCCTAGAAGGCAACACTGTGGGCACACACCAACTGAAGATGGTGAGAATTGAGAAAGCCAGCATGAGATATTTGGAAGAAGTACACAGTTAATCTGTGTGTTACTATGTGGACAAGAAATATTTTCTAGCAGCATAAGCCCCTTGCAAGAAAGCTATCATGGAAAAAAAATCTGAAATTTTATCATTTTTGGACACAAATCTCTCTCTTGAACTTCCTGTAAAAAGAAATGTTTTGACATTTAATTTCTCTCAATGAGTCATTCAGCCCTGTGACTACAGAGTTTTACTCTGTCCCACTCCAAACTAATATAAATGACAATTGTGACACTTGTAGGAGAGGAAAAAAGTATTTTCTCTCCACACATCTTAGATTTATTGGCTGGTGCCCTGTAAGTTAGACTGGCAAAAGACAAATTAGCTAGAGAAAAACAAAGAGGAATTTATTAACATGTGCATAGCACAGTACACATGGGAACACTCAGAGATGAGTAATTCAAAGGGGTAGTTAGAACTCCGGCTTATATAGCATCTTAACAAAAACAACACAAAACACAATAAATTTTTAGAGAATTGCCATAACAAAGGACTTTGAGTTTCTACGTTGGCAAATTGTGGGAAGGTAAATATATGGGGGAACTAATCAAAGATAAGGGTTAGTTACTGAAGTTTGTTAGGCAAATTCCTTTGGTGTGGTCCCTGGGCTGATATGGGTAGTTTTGTTTTTCCTGGTAGAGAGGGGAGGGAGGACACCTTTACAAATGTATGTTCTGCTTTTAGGCAAATAGAGAGAAGAGAGCTTTTCTTGTATCTTTTTCTCATCAATTGCCTTCAGCTCAAAATAATCCTTATGCCAAAATCACATATTTTGGGATGGCATATTCCACTACCCTTCACACTGATGTAGCCCTTTCTTTGAGACCCTCATGCAAACAGATATTGTAAACATTTATGGAATGTATGAAACAAATCTAATTGGTTTGTATCTGTATATGTTTGAAACTTCAAAAAAATTAGAATTAAAAAGCAACAAAATGCTTATCATCTCTATCTCTATTTCATTTATTGTTTATTTCTATATACATAAACTGTAATGATATTCATAGTTTTTAATCTCACTTTTGGTGATTATTCCTACATTTTACTGGAGAAATTTTAATGTCATTGATTATGGGGTGTCCTTCCAGGCCCTGCTGTTGGTTTTGTTTTGAATACATAGTATATATATATATATTGCCTTTATAAAATCTAAAACAAATTGAATTTTGAAATATTTCTGTCCTGACAGTTTTCAGACTTAAGCTGTATATATTTATCTATATAATTTTTAATTTATTGTCTCCCCACTAGATTATAAACACCACAAAAACAGAAATTATAACTGTTTCAATTTATTACCAGCATATCTCTACATGCCTGGTAGGGGATAAATATCTACTTGAGTTAAAATGGAATGTTACTCTTCAAGTTTTTCCTCTCTTATCCTAAGGTATAATGCCTCTTTATCCTGTTTTTCCACACCTAGTGTGAAGGCCATTCACATTCCTGAAGGTGATTATTCGTTTGCTTCCTCTCAGACATCTGATGTCCCAAGATCCTTTTCCCTAAGCATCAGGTACATCCCTCACTTCCTTGTTAACATCCCTCACTTCCTTGTTAATCATCCTGCTGAGAATATGAATTTAAAATTCTTGTTTTCTTTTCTCTTTGAATGCTTCACCCACCAAGTCTCAGATCATTTTGAGTGTTCACCTTTTTAAATAATTCATAGGTTAATGCCAATCTTTTGTGTGTATTCTTGGTTTTGTATCCCAAATTACTCGCATCAGTAAAAAATTTAAACTAATCATGTACCCTCTGAGCAACTGCAGGACTTCTTTGAATACTTTTGTTTTTCTCATGGACCATTTGCAATTGTGTAATCCTGATGCCATTTTTCAGAATCTTTTGTATAAGCCACATTCTTTCCCAAAGTCTCTTATCATGGTGCCATATTAATCTTTTCTTTAAACTATTCGAAATGTATGTTCCTAACCTGAAAAGAAAGCAGAGTAAATGGAGTTGTTTGCATTTACTAGGTATTACCTAGATGTTACCAACAGTATCTCATTTAATCCTTATAATGACCTTAAAAGTTGGCATTCTTATTTTGCTGATGAAGAACTTAAAACTCAGAGAGATTAAATAAATTTTCCACATCTGTCTAACTCCAGAGTCACATACTTTCACTTCATTACACCATTTATACATCTAACCACATCTAGCTTTATCTGCTCATTATAATGAACACCTACCCAAGTTCCTGAACGTTTGAATTAAACCTGTTTTATTTTCCTTGTTGAACAAAAGAATATCCCATATAAGGTTTATTTTTTGCATTATTTCTTTTGTCTTCTGTGAGATTGCAACTGTGAAAAAGTTATGAATTTCACAATTTTTTGTTTATTTTTCCAGTAGAGTTGAAACTTCTTGCCTCTGTTCAAGTTTTGGAAACTATATTTGGAATCTAGAAAAGGGAAAGTGAAGGTAGGAAACTTGTTGATTGTCTATTATGGCAAATGCTATGCTAAGTACTTAATTTTTACTAATTCCTTCATTTTTTCATAAGATATTATTATATTCAACTGATGGTTCTTTTTCCTTTTCTTTCCACTTAATTGAATTAGCATTCATTTTTCAAATAAGCATAATTAGTCAAGTTCTCTTCCCACCATTACCCCCACTTCCTCCTCCTCACACACATTCAATAAACAAGGCTACAGGAGAGAGAGAAAGGTATCTTTTACCCTATGTACCAAATATATTTGGAATTTCTGAGACTTGCGATGGAAAATAAAGGATTCTCGCTATGGATTATTTAGAATATTAAAGGTGGTTTTTCAGGGGACTTGAGAGCAAGATGGTGGAGTAGAAGGATGTGAGCTCACCCTTTCTTACAAAAACACCTAAATCACAACTAACTGCTGAACAACCATCAACAAAAGAAATGCTGGAACCTACCAAAAAAGATACCCTACACCCAAAGACAAAGAAGAAGCCATAACAAAATGGTAGGAGGGGCACAATCACGATAAAATCAAATCTCATACCTGCTGGGTGCATGACCCATAAATTGGAAAATAATTATACCACAGAAGTTGTCCCACAGAAGTGAAAGTCCTGAGCCCCGCGTCAGACTTCCCAGCCTGGGCGTCTGGCAATGGGAGAAGAAGCCTGCAGAGAATCTGGCATTGAAGGCCAGCAGGGTTTGATTGCAGGAATTCCACAGGGCTGAGGGAAACAGAAGCTCCACTCTTGGAGGGCAAACACTCTAGTGTGCACCAGGACCCAGGGAATAAAGCAGTGACCTCATGAGAGACTGGGCCAGACCTACCTGCTAGTATTGGAGAACCTCCTGCAGAGGTGGGGGGTAGCTGTGGCTCACTGCAGGCACAAAGACACTGACAGCAGCAGCTCTGGTGTGAGCCCTCCTGGACCATTTATCCCCCAGGACCTAGCCCCACCCAACAGGCTGTATGATGCAGTGCTGGGAAGCCTCAGGCCAAACAACCAACAGGGCAGAAACACAGCCCCATCCATCAGCAGACAGGCTGCTTAAAGTATTCCTGAGCATGGCTCTGCTCACCAGAGGGACAAGACCCAGCTCCACCTGCAAGCAGGCAGGAACCCGGCCCTCCCACCAGCAAGCCTCCACAAGCCTGTTAGACACATTCATCAACCAGAGGGTAGACAGCAGCAGCAAGAAGAACTATAACCCTGCAGCCTACGGAAGGGAAACCTAATCACAGAAAGTTAGACAAGATGAGATGGCAGAGGAATATGTCCCAGATGAAGGAACAAGATAAAACCCCAGAAGAAAAACTAAGTGAAGTGGAGATAGACAATCTACTACAAAAAGAATTCAGAGTAATGGTAGTGAAGATGACTGAAGATCTCAGAAAAAGAATGGAGGCACAGATTGAGAAGATACAAGAGATATTTAACAAAGACCTAGAAGAACTAAAACACAAACAGAGACGGACGATACAATAATTGAAGTGAAAAATACACTAGAAGGAATCAATAGCAGAATAACTGAGGCAGAAGAACAGATAAATGACCGGGAAGACAGAATGTTGGAAATCACTGCCATGGAACATAATAAAGAAAAAAGGTTGAAAAGAAATGAAGACAGTCTAAGAGACCTCTGGAACAACATTAAATGCACCAACATTTGCAGCTTCTTTCTCAGGTCCTTCTCTCTCTCTTCTCCTTCTGGTACCCCTGAGAAAATATTTGAAGAGATAAGAGCTGAAAACTTACCTAACATGGGAAAGGCAGTCACCGAAGTCCAGGAAGCACAGAGAGTCCAGGCAGGATAAACCCATGGAGGAACATGCTGAGACACATAGTAATCAAACTGACAAAAATTAAACATAAAGAAAAATTATTAAAAACAAAAAGAGAAAAACAACAAATAATATACAAGGGAACTCCCATAAGGTTATCAGCTGATTTCTCAGCAAAAACTCTGCAGGTCAGAAGGGAGTGGCAAGATGTATTTCAAGTGATGAAAGGGAAGAAGCTACAGCCAAAAATACTGTACCAGCAAGGATCTCATTCAGATTCAGTGGAGAAATCAAAAGCTTTACAGACAAACAAAAGCTAAGAGAATTCAGAACCACCAAACCAGATTTGCAACAATTGCTACAGGAAATTCTCTAAGCAGAAAAGAAAAAGCCACTACTAGAAACAAGAAAATTACAAATGGAAAAGCTAACTGGTAAAGGCAAACATAAAGGCAGGAAATCATCTGCACACAAATATGAATCAAAAGCAGGAAGTCTGAGAAGAGGAGGGCACAAATTCAGGATATTGGAAATGCATTTGAAATTAAAATACCAGCAACACAAAACAATCTTGTTTTTACACACACTGCTATATCAAATCCTCAGGGTAACAACAAACCAAAAATCTACAATAGATACACACACAAAAAAAGAAATGGGAATCCAAACACAACACTAAAGTTAGTCATCAAATCACAAGAGAAGAGAACAAAAGAAGAAGGGAAGAAAAAAGACCTACAAAACCAAATTCAAAACAATTAAGAAAATGGAAATGTGAACATACATATCGATAATTATCTTAACTGTAAATGGATTAAATGCTCCAACCAAATGACACAGACTGGCTGAATGGATACAAAAACAAGACCAATATATATGTTGTCTACAAGAGACCCACTTCAGATCTAGGGACACATACAGACTGAAAGTGAGGGGATGTAAAAAGGTATTCCATGCAAATGGAAATCAAAAGAAAGCTGGAGTAGCAATACTAAAATCAGACAAGATAAACTTTAAAATAAAGACTGTTATAAGAGACAAAGAAGGATACTACATAATGATCAAGGGATCAATCCAAGAAGATATAACAATTGTAAATATATATGCACATAACATAGGAGAACCCCAATATATAAGGCAAATACTAGCACCCATAAAAAGAGAAATCAATAGTAAAATATAAAACATAGTAAAATATAAAAAGGGAACCCTTTTTATATCACAGGTTCTTATTAGTTATCTATTTTATACATATTACTGTATATATGTCAATCCCAATCTCCCAATTCTTCCCAAAGCCACCACCCTCTGCCCCCTTCTTTCCCCCCTTGGTATCCATACATTTGTTCTCTACATCTGTGTTTCTGTTTTCTGCCTTGTAAACCAATTCATCTGTATCATGTTTCTAGATTCCACATATATGCATTAATATACAATATTTGTTTTTCTCTTTCTGACTTACTTCACTCTGTATGACAGTCTCTAGGTCCATCCACGTCTCTACAAATCACCCAATTCCATTCCTTTTTATGGCCTAGTAATATTCCATTGTATATATGTACCACGGCTTCTTTATCCACTCATCTGTTGATGGGCATTTAGGTTGCTTCCATGACCTGGTATTGTAAATAGTGTTGCAATGACCATTGGGGTGCATGTGTCTTTTTCAATTATGGTTTTCTCTGGGTATATACTCAGTAGTTGGACAGCTGGGTCATATGGTAATTCTATTTTTAGTTTTTTAAGGACCCTCCATACTGTTCTCCATAGTGACTGTATCAATTTACATTCCCACCAACAGTGCAAGAGGGTTCCCTTTTCTCCACACCCTCTCCAGCACTTATTGTTTGTAGATTGTTTTGATGGTGGCCATTCTGACTGGTGTGAGGTGATATCTCATTGTAGCTTTCTTTTGCAATTCTCTAATTATTAGTGAGGTTGAGTATCTTTTCATGTGCTTCTTGGCCATCTGTATGTCTTCTTTGGAGCAATGTCTATTTAGGTCTTCTGCCCATTTTTTGATTGGGTTTTTGTTTTTTTGGTGTTGAGCCACATGAGCTGTTTGTAAATTTCGGAGACTAATCCCTTGTATGTTGCATCATTTGCAAATATTTTCTCCCATTCTGAGGGCTGTCTTTCCATCTTGTTTATAGTTTCCTTTGCTGTGCAAAAGCATTTAAGTTTCATGAAGTTCCATTTGTTTATTTTTGTTTTTATTTCTGTTACCCTAGGAGGTGGGTCAAAAAAGATCTTTCTGTGATTTATGTCAAAGAGTGTTCTTCCTATATTTTCCTCTAAGAGTTTTATAGTGTCTGGTCTTACATTAAGTCTTTAATCCGTTTTGAGTATATTTTTGTGTATGGTGTTAAAGAGTGTTCTAATTTCGTCTTTTTACATGTAGCTGTCCAGTTTTCCCCACACTATTTATTGAAGAGACTGTCTTTCCTCCATTGTATAGTCCTGCTTCCTTTGTCATAGATCAGTTGACCATAGGTGCATGGGTTTATTTCTGGGCTTTCTATCCTGTTCCATTGATCTATATCTCTGTTTTTGTGCCAGTACCATACTGTTTTCATGACTGTAGCTTTGTAGTATAGTCTGAAGTCAGGGAGTCTGATTTCTCCATTTTTTTCCCTCAAGAGTGCTTTGACTATTCGAGGTCTTTTGTGTCTCCATACTAATTTTAAGATTTTTTTGTTGTAGTTCTGTAAAAAATGCCATTGGTAATTTGATAGGGATTTCACTGAATCTGTAGATTGCTTTGGGTAGTATAATCATTTTCACAATATTGATTGTTCCAATCCAAGAACATGGTATACCTCTCCATCTGTTTGTGTCATCTTTGATTTCTTTCATCAATGTCTTATAGTTTTCTGAGTACAGGTGTTTTACCTTCTTAAGTAGGTTTATTCCTAGGTATTTTATTTTTTGTTGCAATGGTGAATGGGATTGTTTCCTTAATTTCTCTTTCTGATCTTTCGTTGTTAGTGTATAGGAATGCAAGAGATTTCTGTGCATTAATTTTGTATCCTGCAACTTTACCAAATTCATTGATTAACTCTAGTAGTTTTCTGGTGATATCTTTAGGATTCTCTGTGTATGGTATCATGTCATCTGCAAACAGTGACAGTTTTACTTCTTCTTTTCCAATTTGTATTCCTCTTATTTCTTTTTCTTCTCTG